CAATGATACTTGTTAAACATGATAAGGCAGACTTTATTTTGGGGGGTGGGGAAGACTTTGCAGTAGAGGGGCAAGATTGGGCTCAATTCTGAATACATCATGGGCAACTGGGAATTTAAAGCCCAGGAGCAGGAGTTAATGGATTAAACATTATAAAAGTAAACATCAGGGGTGAGGCGGTATTCTGGCTAAACCATCCTGACAGGACTCTTGCCAAAGGCAGACCAGGATGATCAGACATCACCAGGGGGATGGTGAAGCATGAGGAACCTAATTAGATGTCTAAGGTGATCAGATATCAAGGATTGGGAGATTCTGGTTAAACTGACTTAGTAGAATTCTTACTAAAATTGGACAATGCAGATACAAACATGGAAATCTAAAAGTCCAGACTTGCCTGAAAAAGATATCAGAGCAGCCTAGATAGGATTTGGTCAAAGAGAGAGTCTTTGTCAATACCCAGCAAAATTGTCTACTAAAAAATAAGCACTGAATAAAGATATTATCTGATAAACTAAGAGAGGTAACTATCGATAATTCTTTACTAAAGAAACTTTACAGCCAGACTGGGTGGCTCAGCCTGTAATCCCACGCCTTTGGGAGGCTGAAGTGAGTGGATTGCCTGAGCCCGCGGGTTCGAGACCCACCTGGGCAACTTGGCGAGACCTTATCTCTACAATAAATCAAAAAATTAGCCGGGTGTGGTAGCGCACGCCTGTAGTTCCAGCTACTCGGAAGGCTGAGGCAGAAGGATCGCTGGAGCCCAGCAGGTGAGGCTGCAGTGGCCGGGAGCGGCCACTGCACTCCAGTCTGGGCGATGGAGTGAGACTCCAACTCAAAAAGAAAAGAAACTTTACAAGGATGAATTTTTTTTTTTTTTTTTTTTTGAGACAGGGTCTTGCTCTGTTGCCAGGCTGGTATGCCGCGGTACAGCGGTGAGATCATATCATAGCTCACTGCACTGTTGAACTCAGGTGATCCTCCCACCTCAGCCTCCTGAGTAACTGGGACTGTAGATGCATGCCATCACATCCAGTTAATTTTAAAAACATATTTGGTTTTGTAGAGACATGGTCTCGCTATGTCCCAGGCTGGTCTCAAACTCTTGGCCTAAAGCGATCCTCCACCTCAGCCTCCTAAAGTGTGAGCAACTGAACCCAGCCAAAGATAGACATTTGGAAGAAGAAAAATAAACTCACAAGGAGGGATTGATATACAGAATGGAATAGTAAGCAAAAGTGGGGGGACAAGAAAATGGCAATCTGTAATAAAAATAATTTGTGGTGCTAACATTTGTAGGGCTAAAAATTAAACAAGATATAAATAAAGTAGTAACTAACCCAGAAGAAATGGAGTCAGTGTCAAACATTGTAAGTGCCTTAAGATCATTCAGGGTGGGGTGCTGTGGCTCACACCTGTAATCCTAGCACTTTGAGAGGCCAGGGCAGGAAGATTGTTTGAGTCCAGTAGTTTGAGATGAGCCTGGGTAACATAGGGAAACCCTATCTCTACAATAAAATTTTTTTTATAAAACATCATTCAAAATGAAAATAAAGACATTGACTCATTTTATGTATTAAGCTAAATATGAATTAAAATTCTAGAGTAATCATTAAACAGTACAAATAATGTATAACTTCCAATAAAATAGAGTAGAAAAATTGGAATGTCAAAAGACTTCAATTCAACAACTGCAAAAAGTACTGAGCATGATGGTACACTCCTGTAGTCCCAGCTACTTGGAAGGCTAAGGCAGGAGGATTGCTTGAACCCAGAAGGTCAAGTCCAGCCTGGGCAACATGGTGGGATTCTGTCTCTAAAAAAAATTTTTTTTCCTCCCCCTACCCCCTGTTTCTCTAAAAAAAAATTTTTTTAATGCAAGAAAGAGGAAAAACTATGTGTATATGCAAGAAAAAAATAGAACAAATTTTAAGTACAAAATAGAGTGAGTCTTAACTTTAAGAATAAATTTAGCCAGACTCGGTGGCTCAGCCTGTAATCCATGCTTTGGGAGGCTGAGGTGAATAGATTGCCTGAGCCTGTGGGTTTGAGACCTGCCCAGGCAACTTGGTGAGACCTCATCTCTACAATAAATCAAAAACTAGCCAGGCATGATAGCGCACACCTTAGTTCCAGCTACTTGGAAGGCTAAGGTGGATGGATCGCCAGAGCTCAGCAGGTCAAGGCTGAGGTGGCTGGGAGCGTGCCACTGCACTCCATTCTGGGCGATACAGAGAGACTCCAACTCAAAAAAAAAAAAAAGAATAAATTTAGGGAATAACACATATAACTTTACTGAAAGACATTAAAGATAGGTTAAATAAATGAAGAGATAAACAATGTTCATGGACAGGAAGATTCATCAAACAAACATCCCTATATGTATGTATGTGTACATGTCTAACTTGATAAACTGATTCTAAAATATATAAGAAATAATAAACAGCTGGAGGAAAAAAAAAAGATTCCAGGTACTCTTGAAAAAGAAGAGCACTATAAGAGACTCACCAACAAAATCTCAAGACATATGTATATAATTAGGGTAATTAAGAAAGTTTTGTTTTGACCCAAGAACAGTTAACCAGATAAATGGAACAGAGTAGACAATCTAAAACCAGATAACACAATGATGCCTGATATGACAGAGGTAACATTGCAGATCAATAGAAGAATGAGGTACTGTTCAAAAGAAATAGAAAAACTAGGCTGGGCTTGGTGGCTCAGTCTGTAATCCCAGCACTTTGGGAGGCTGATGCAAGAGGATTGCCTGAGCCTGCAGGTTCGAGACCTGCCTGGGCAACTTGGCGAGATCTCCTCTCTACAATAAAGCAAAAACTAGCCGGGTGTGGTGGTGCACACCTGTAGTTCCGGCTACTTAGAAGGCTGAGGTGGAAGGATCACCGGAGCCCAGCAGGTCGAGGCTGTGGTGGCCGGGAGCATGCCACTGCACTCCAGTCTGGGCAACAGAGTGAGACTCCAACTCAAAAAAAAACAAAAACAAAAACAAAAAACTAAGTTTCCATATCAAAAAGTGAAATAGATCCAAATTACAAGCCACAGATATCAATCAATCTGGAATGATTTTAAAACTTAAATATGAAAGTGAAAACTTAATTTTTTCTAAGTAAAGGGCCAAAAAATTTGTTGTCTTTAAGGGGGATTTATTTTTTCTCTTCTTTTTTTTTTTTTTTTTAGTAGAGATGAAGTCTCAATATTTTGCCCAGGTTGGTCTCAAACTCCTGTGCTCAAGCAATTTTGCCACTGCAGCCTTCAAAGTCCTGGGATTATAGGTGTGAGCCACCGCTCCTGGCCAATTTTGGGGCAGAATTGCTTAATCCAGATTTCAAAAGACAAGTCACTTAGTAAAATCTTGATAACTTTGACTATTTAAAAATGACTCTTTATCTAATGGCCACATGAAGACAAACCACAAAATGACGAAAGATATCTGCAACATAAATAAGCAATAAAAGATTGCTCTCTGGAATAAATAGAGAACTAAAAATAAATTATAAAAAGTCAAATAACTCAAAAGATAAATGATCAAAAGATATACACATTTGACTTAGACAAAAACACAATTAGCAAATAAACGCACACAAAGATGCTCAATTTCAGTAACTAGAACATTCAAATTAATAATCATGATGTGATACCTTTATACCCATCAGACTGGTCAAAAGAAAAATAAGAATTCTGGTCGGACGCAATAGCTCATGCCTATAATCCCAGCACTTTGAGAGGCTGAGCTGAGAAGATTGCCTGAGCCCACAGGTTCGAGACTGGGCAACTTGTCTAGACTTCATCTCTATAATAAATCAAACAATTAGCCAGGCATGGTGGCACATGCCTGTTGTTCCAGCTACTTGGAAGACTGAGGTTGAAGGACCGCCTGAGCCCAGCAGGTCGAGGCTGTGATGGTCATGAGCATGCCACTGCCCTCCAGCCTGGGCGATAGAGTGAGACTCCGACTCAAAAAAAAAAAAAAAGAAAAAGAAAAATAACAATTCTGACAACCCCACAAGCACTATGGAGCAGAACACTGAGAATTCACCTACCACTAGTGGAATTGTACATTGCTGTAAATACTTAGTTAAATAATTTAGCATTATCTATAAAGTTAGAGGACTGTTTTCTGCATCCTAGCAGTTCTGATTCTAGAATATACCCTAGAGAAACTCTTGCTCATGTGCACAAAGAAAAATGCATGAGAATGTCTATAGCTGTATTTATTGTTATTAGGGAGAAAAGAGACCAACACAAATGTCCACACCCATGAAAATGGATAAATTGTGGTCTGTGCGCTTCTTCTTCTTCTTCTTCTTCTTCTTCTTCTTTTTTTTTTTTTTCTGATTTGGAGTCTCTCTCTGTCGCCCATGCTGGAGTGCAGTGGCACATTCACGACCACCCCAGCATTGACCTGCTGGGCTCTGGCAATCCTTCTGCCTCAGCCTTTTAAGTAGCCAGAACTACAGGAGCGTGCTACCACGCCTGGCTAATTTTTGATTTATTGTAGAGACGAGGTCTCGCCAAGTTGCCCGGGCTGGTCTCAAACCCGCAGGTTCAAGCAATCCTCTCGCCTCGGCCTCCCAAAGCGCTGAGTTTACAGGCTGAGCCACGAAGCCCGGTCGGTCTGTGCATTTCATGAAATACTATATTCAGTTGTAATATTTAATGAACAATAGTTACATTCCTGAACATGGATAAATCTCACAAGTGTTATATTGTATGAAAAAAAAAAAACCCACAAAAAACAGATTACAGAAGAATATCCACAATATGATTCCATTTACTTTAAGATTCAAAAACACGCAAGACTAAAGCAATTGGTCAAATAAGCCTTAACTGTTACTATGTAATTTGTACTTTGTAATATCTGGTAGTTGCATGGTTCGTTAAGCTTCAGACTAACAGAAAATTAAGCATTAACTATGGTGGCCAACTTAGAAAAAAACAATCTGGGGAATCAAAATCCTTAAAATTCAGCTACAAAATTTTAGTAAATATCCATGCAGGAAATTAGATAGATTCTTTCGGGCCATCTTTAAAATGCCATTGATGAATCATACTTTCTCCTAAATTCCTGTACTTTCTTGGGCCATCCGAGCATGAAGTCCTGTCACCTACCCACATCCGCTAGCTGGAACACTTGTCAAAGTGTGACCTGTCCGCTGCATGCCTAGACCACCAAAGTGTTCCGTCTGGACGGTGTCACCGGAGAAGACTGTGCGACATGTCCAAGGCACAGATCGGGGCTCTTGTGTTTGGTGTCGGAGGGTTTGGAGCTCTCGTTGCTGCCACTGTGTCCAATGAGTGGAAAGTCACCACCCGGGCATCCTCAGTGATCACTGCCACTTGGGTTTACCAGGGTCTGTGGATGAACTGCGCAGGGAACGCGTTGGGTTCTTTCCATTGCCGGCCACACTTTACTATCTTCAGAGTAGAAGGTAAATATAAAAGTTTTGTTTGGGGTAGAGGTGAAATGTACTTTTCTCCCCGACTGTGCTGAAATATACAGTTGACCGTTGACTCTGTGAAGACAGAGTGTTTCATCCGAGTGCCAAAATTTGCCTAGGATGGATGGGGTAGATGAGTGCTGGCTGAAAGAATTAAATCCTTTATTTTACTTGACAAAGGAAATTCAAGGATAATTTTATGGGTCTTTTGGCATACCCAGTACGAATAACAGACTCCAAGGGAAAGAGTGAAAGTGATGGGACTGTTTTAGAGGCTAGTTTCAATTTACCCTGAGTCATGGAAGCATCTTGATGATGAGTCATCTACCCTATGGAGGAAGAGTTCTCACTGATTTAAATTCTTCTTTCTCTCCCCCAACTCTGCCCTCTCCCTGTGTGTGTGTGTGTGTGTGTGTGATGCCATCAGTTAATTAAACTTTATCCTAAATTCCAGATATCAAGGGAAAGAATTCTGTTTTCAGAGAGGTTTCCATCTTTTTTTTAAATCATGTTGAATGATAAAATAACAAAGCAAGGAAAACTGAAAGTAGTTAACTAGAAGAAAATGTCATGAACTTTCCCTTTTGGTTACTTGGTTTTGTTGTTGCTGTTGTTGTTGTTTTAATGCAGTGATCGCTTAGCTGGAAGTTTACCTGGTTTTATTCGTGTATTTTAAAAATATGTGGGCCACATTTTCGTCTTTGTGTATATCAGAAACTCTACAAGTATATGTATCTTAAAGAGGAAACTTTTTTTGAAAAGACATTCTTCATACTTTTGGAGACCTTCAGGGAAACAGCTGTTATTTGCTTTTATGTCATTATGAGAATCTCCATCTGCCTCTACTTTTGGCAAATTTGATACATTCACAAAGTTGTGGGTTTGTTATGTAAAAAATTGTCCCCTCTTTTTTTGGTAAAATATAGGTTTTTTACAATCTAATGAAAAACTGTACCTTGGCCCTAGTAAGGAAAATGAAATAAAAATTTAACTAGGAAGTTACTAAAGCATAATATTTTATGGGATTTTCTGCTAAGTATGCATGTCATTAGTCTACAGTGAGTGCCAAGGGATAAAGAGATAATACTTAATTAAAGCCAGGAGATTTCTAATGACAGTCAACAGAAATGGTCAAGCGTGGGTACCTCGGTCAGACCCTTGACTAACATGTGCTCTCCTAAGTACCCATTTGAGGAATTAGTGCTACATCTCTCTTCAACCCCAACTTCTAAACTTACTTTGGGATATTTCAACACTGCTCCTTCTACTATAGAGCATTTCCCTAGAGACAGGGACCTTTTTAAAAGGAAAAGAAGAGTGTCTGTGGAGGCCCTGCTGTCACTCCACGTCTCTTGTGGTCAGTCTTTCTGCAAGACCTTCTCTTGGTCCCAACCCCACCTTGGGCCGGAAGAAGAGGATATGGCATGTATGTGGTAAGTGTTTCTTTGTTTTTAACTCGGTTAGTGTTTTAGAAAACTATTTTGTCTTTCTATGCTTCATTCTATGTTTCTTTAAAAAACCCAGTTATTGGGAAAAATGTGTGCTGAATCTTAGCTCTAAAGATGACTGAAGAACTATGGTAGATTTCTATGGGACTGCAATGGTTGCTTCCCCATCCCATCTTAGAAAACAGAGTTATCGACCGGGCGCAGTGGCTCACACCTATAATCCCAGCACTTTGGGAGGCCGAGGTAAGAGGATTGCCTGAGCCCATGGGTTCGAGACCAGCCTGGGCAACTTGGCGAGACCTCATCTCTACAATAAATCAAAAAATCAACTGGGCATGGTGGCGCGTGCCTGCAGTTCCAGCCACTTGGAAGGCTGAGGCAGAAGGATAGCCTGAGCCCAGCAGGTCGAGGCTGCGGTGGCCGTGAGTGTGCCACTGCACTCTAGCCTGGGCGACAGAGTGAGACTTCAACTAAAAAAAAAAAAGAAAAGAAAAGAAAGAAAACAGAGTTACAACTTTTATTACTAAACAACATTGATGGCGGTCCAAAGAAATCTTCCACCTTTAAAACTTTCTTTTTAAAGGTGATTTTGCTTATCCATAGTAAAAATAATTTATTGTATATCTACTGTGTATACCCTGCACATAAGAGGTCATTTGAAAAATTTTGCTCAGTGACAATACTACCATTAGAACATATGAAATGAAGTTAACATAATCACTCCATGTTCCTTTTCCTGAATCAAAATCTTCACCAATGATATGGTTTACTGCAGAAAATCTATTTTCAACATCGGAAACATGATTCATATTTCCAGAGGAAGTGGGGACTCACAAATTTGGATTTCCTTATTCCCATAGATTCGTTGTTAACATTGCTGACTGCTTTTCCTTTGTTCCTATTAGAAAACATAACAATGGGGGAATTGGGAAGGATACTTATGCCAATAATCTCTCCAACATCACAATAATTACACATGGAGAAAAGAACTCAAAGATCTATGAGGAATGAAAATGGTTATATCACCCTTTAAAATAAACTATTTAAGCCCGCATTGTCAATTTAAGACAAATCTTCTTAGTGTTAGGCCAGATTAATCCTCCGGTAAGAAAGAAAAGTAGAAAATCTTTCTAATCCGTCGGGGTTGTTTTTTGTTTTTTTGGGTTTTTTCTTGCTGTTTATATAACCTCATTGCTGGAATCATACCTTCTCCTAGCTAACCCTCTTAGATGTCCCAGCGCTGCCTAGTTTTTTAGGACTTCATTTGGATTAGTAGGGACTGCATCCTTTAAACATTTGATGTCAGCAAGCAGCTCACATCACATGGCTTACATTTGATGTAGGTAGGCAACATTGGTAGCTATTGTAAAAAAAAAAAAATTACAGGCTACCTTCAACTATAGTTCTATGAAACAAATTTCACAAAAATCCTGTAGGGACACCTGCAGTTTGATCCTCATTGAAGCTCCTTGATTGAAATTCAAAGCCAGTTTACTCTTTCTAGACACAAAGTCCATCATAGGTTGAGTCTCCTGTTTCATTGTGTTTTGTTGTTCTTTCATGTCCGTGTCAATAGGGATGCTTTAACAATAAAAGTAAAGCATCTTTCATAGCAGGGACAGAAGCAATTATTTCTGAGGGAGGAGGCTGGCTCCAGGAAGCACTGCTACAAAGAGGGATTGACACCAAATTGTGGTCACTTGGGACGGGAACTTCATCTTGTACTCCTGGATACTCATCTGCAATATAACTGAATGAACAAAATAAATGAGTGAGCCTCCACATAGTTCATGATGAGGGCAAACTTGTATTCCTGGAGGAAGGCTGGAGTGTGCTGAATTGAGGGGGAAGTCAGGAAACGTGCTCGGGCAACCAAAAGGAAGATCATTAGATTATAACTCAGCAGACAAATTCTGTTTTTATTACTAACAGTAAGACCTTGACTTTAGCAATAAAACCCTCCGCACCCCATCCATAAATGTTTTACCCCCAAAATTGAGGGAACTGGACTCCAAGAGTCCTGTAAAATATCTTTTAACCTAAAGTTCAATTTGAGAGCTTCACAATGCTTTACCAACCAGCCGTAAAATTCACCAAGAAGTAGAGCTATAAACGGCCCCTGGGCCTTTCCTTTTCTCCTCTTATCTATTATCCTGACTAACTTCCTGTGTTCCTGACTGTTTACAATCTTTTTTTTTTTTAATCAGTATTTTTTATTATGGTTTTGTGGGGTACAGTTAAGGGTTAGGTGTACAATTACGTTTCATTCAGACACCCTGTTGATAAGAGGTGTT